AGGTTCAGGTTTTGCCTTCTGTTTTGGAACAGGTTCAGGTGTTACTTTCTCTTTTGGAGCAGGTTCAGGTTTTGCCTTCTCTTTTGTAGCAGGTTCTGGTTTTGCCTTCTCTTTTGGAACAGGTTCAGGTTTTGCCTTCTCTTTTGGAACAGGTTCAGGTTTTGCCTTCTCTTTTGGAGCAGGTTCAGGTTTTGCCTTCTCTTTTGGAACAGGTTCAGGTTTTGCCTTCTCTTTTGGAGCAGGTTCAGGTTTTGCCTTCTCTTTTGGAGCAGGTTCAGGTTTTGCCTTCTCTTTTGGAGCAGGTTCTGGTTTTGCCTTCTCTTTTGGAGCAGGTTCTGGTTTTGCCTTCTCTTTTGGAACAGGTTCAGGTGTTACCTTCTCTTTTGGAGCAGGTTCAGGTTTTTGCCTTCTGTTTTGGAACAGGTTCAGGTGTTTACTTTCTCTTTGGGGTGGGGCGGTTCAGGTTTTGCCTTCTCTTTTGGAGCAGGTTCTAGGTTTTGCCTTCTCTTTTGGAACAGGTTCAGGTTTTGCCTTCTCTTTTGGAGCAGGTTCAGGTGTTACTTTCTCTTTTGGAGCAGGTTCAGGTTTTGCCTTCTCTTTTGGAACAGGTTCAGGTTTTGCCTTCTCTTTTGGAGCAGGTTCTGGTTTTGCCTTCTCTTTTGGAACAGGTTCAGGTTTTGCCTTCTCTTTTGGAGCAGGTTCAGGTGTTACTTTCTCTTTTGGAGCAGGTTCAGGTTTTGCCTTCTCTTTTGGAGCAGGTTCAGGTGTTACTTTCTCTTTTGGAGCAGGTTCTGGTTTTGCCTTCTCTTTTGGAGCAGGTTCAGGTTTTGCCTTCTCTTTTGGAGCAGGTTCAGGTGTTACTTTCTCTTTTGGAACAGGTTCTGGTTTTGCCTTCTCTTTTGGAACAGGTTCTGGTTTGGCCTTTTCTTTTAGAGCAGGTTCAGGTTTGGCCTTTTCTTTTGGAACAGTTTCAGCTATTACCTTCTCTTCTGGAGAAGGTTCAGGCTTGGCCTTCTCTTTTGGAACAGAGTCGGGTTTAGCCTTGTCTTTTGGAACAGGTTCAGGTTTTGTCTTCTCTTTTTTATCAAGTTCTGGTTTTACCTTCTCTTTTGGAGCAGGTTCAGGTGTTACTTTCTGTTTTGGAGCAGGTTCTGGTTTTGCCTTCTCTTTTGGAGCAGGGGTTCAGGTTTTGTTTTTCTTTTTTGGAGCAGGTTCAGGTTTTGCCTTCTCTTTGGGGTAGGTTCAGGTGTTACTTTCTCTTCTGGAGCAGGTTCAGGTTTTCTGCCTTCTCTTTTGGGGCACGGTTCAGGTTTACCTTCTCTTTTGGAGCAGGTTCTGGTTTTGCCTTCTCTTTTGGAACAGGTTCAGGTTTTCCTCTCTCTTTTGGAGCAGGTTCAGGTTTGGCCTTCTCTTTTGGAGCAGGTTCAGGTTTTGCCTTCTCTTTTGGAGCAGGTTCAGGTTTTGCCTTCTCTTTTGGAGCAGGTTCTGGTTTTGCCTTCTCTTCTGGAGAAGGTTCAGGCTTGGCCTTCTCTTTTGGAACAGAGTCGGGTTTAGCCTTGTCTTTTGGAACAGGTTCAGGTTTTGTCTTCTCTTTTTTATCAAGTTCTGGTTTTACCTTCTCCTTTGGAACAGGTTTAGGCTTGGCCTTCTCTTTTGGAATAGAGTCAGGTGTAGCCTTTTCTTTTGGAGAAGGTTCAGGTTTGGCCTTCTCTTTCCGAACAGCTTCAGGCTTTACCTTCTCTTTTGGAACAGATTTTGTCACTTCTTTTTGCAGCGCTTCAGGTTTTGCCTCTCTTTTTGGAGAAGGTTCTGGTTTTACTCTCTCTTTTGGAGCAGGTTCAGGTCTTTTGCCTTTCTCTTTTTAGAGATGGTTCTGGTTTTGCCTTCTCTTTTAGAGCAGGTTCAGGTTTTGCCTTCTGTTTTGGAACAGGTTCAGGTTTTGCCTTCTCTTTTGGAGCAGGTTCAGGTGTTACTTTCTCTTTTGGAACAGGTTCAGGTTTGGCCTTTTCTTTTGGAACAGTTTCAGCTATTACCTTCTCTTCTGGAGAAGGTTCAGGCTTGGCCTTCTCTTTTGGAACAGAGTCGGGTTTTGTCTTCTCTTTTTTATCAAGTTCTGGTTTTCCCTTCTCCTTTGGAACAGGTTTAGGCTTGGCCTTCTCTTTTGGAATAGAGTCAGGTGTAGCCTTTTCTTTTGGAGAAGGTTCAGGTTTGGCCTTCTCTTTCCGAACAGCTTCAGGCTTTACCTTCTCTTTTGGAACAGATTTTGTCACTTCCTTTGCAGCTCCTTCAGGTTTTGCCTCTCTTTTTGGAGAAGGCTCTGGTTTTACTCTCTCTTTTGGAACAGGTTCATCTTTTGCCTTTTCTTTTAGAGATGGTTCTGGTTTTGCCTTCTCTTTTAGAGCAGGTTCAGGTTTTGCCTTCTGTTTTGGAACAGGTTCAGGTTTTGCCTTCTCTTTTGGAACAGGTTCAGGTTTTGCCTTCTCTTTTGGAACAGGTTTAGGCTTGGCCTTCTCTTTTGGAATAGAGTCAGGTGTAGCCTTTTCTTTTGGAGAAGGTTCAGGTTTGGCCTTCTCTTTCCAAACAGCTTCAGGCTTTACCTTGTCTTTTGGCACAGGTTCAAGTTTGGCCTTCTCTTTTGGAACAGATTTTGTCACTTCTTTTGCAGCCCCTTCAGGTTTTGCCTCTCTTTTTGGAGAAGGCTCTGGTTTTACTCTCGCTTTTGGAACAGGTTCATCTTTTGCCTTTTCTTTTAGAGATGGTTCTGGTTTTACCTTCTCCTTTGAAACAGGTTCAGATTTGGCGTTCTCTTTTGGAGCAGGTTCAAGTTTAACCTTCTCCTTTGCAGCAAGTTCTGGTTTTGTCTGATCTTTTGGAGCCGGTTCAGATTTAGCCTTTTCTTTTGGAACAGGTTCAAGCTTTGCCTTTTCTTTTAGTTTTGGTTCTGGTTTGGCCTCTTTTTTTGGAGCAGCTTCACGTTCTGCAAAATATTTACACCATTTAATTAGTCATTTAAGTTAGTTTGTTAACTTGGTTGTTAGCTTTTTTTTTTTTTTCTTTTCCATCTGATGATCATCTAGTTCCTAACTCGAAAAATGAAAATATCAAACTAAAAATACCTTTCTTTGGAGGGGGTTCACGTTTTTGCCTTTTCTTTTAGAGCAAATTCATTTGATTGTTGAAGAATGTATTAACATGGTTGTATACAACAATTTCAAACTGTCAACTTCAGACCAATACCTTTCCTTTCTGGCGTTGGTTTTATCTTCTCCTTAACATCTTGAGCTTCTGAAATAAAATTAAAAAATTTTAATCCTGCTTAGAATTACCAATAGTTAAATATGTGTAGAAAAGAAATAAATTCAAATGAATACAAATATAGTATAACTCTATACAGTACCTGTCTTTAGAGAAGCAGCTTTGATCTTCTCCTTCTTAACCTCAGGCTCTGTAATTGAATTAGTATAAATTATTCAATTCAAAGGTCCAGCTTGTAACAAAACTTTCTTTAACCCGAATCAAAGATATCAAATAATCTACAAAACATGCTCACATACCTTTCTGAATACGAGCTGGCTTAGCTTTCTCTTCTTTAGCTTTGGCCTCTATGATGGGCACAAAAAAAATAATGTGTTGTGTATAAAATTGTACCTACGTTAGTAATTAGTAAATTCTCAATTCTGATTGGTCAGAAGGAAAGTGTTGATTGAGTTTCTGTAACAGCAGCAGCTCCGACAGTAGTTCCCGCTACCAGACAATGCACTCTTTTTCAAATGCTAACATTAAGTCGGAGCTACTTCACGCATGGTGTAAATTTCATATTAATGGATTAAAAATGTATATAACCATTGATATGATTGATATAAATGTATGGTGGAGATGAATTTTTCTGTGAGGAGATGTTTATTTAACATTTCTTGCATAGAGTCTCCAGCGCTTCGCTAACACACTTGTGTTAAGCAGTAATTTTATGTTTTCCAACGTGGGAACGTTTTTCAGGATGGAGGAGCGATTATCCAAGATGGAGGTCCATATGATATTGCAGCGTTCGACCACACGGTGAGGTTTTGTTCATGTTTATCGTTTACAGGAAGTCACAACAGTGGAATTCGCATCTTGTCTTTATACTATTACAATTTCCAAATAGCAATCATAAAAAATTAAAAAATTCATTTTAGTAAACGAGTATTTTAAATGAATGAATACCTTTCTTTATAACGAGCGCTTCGACTTTCTCCGTGGCGACCTTTACAGCTGCGACACATGAAACAGGGGGAAAAGTTTCAGTGCATCTCATAATGAACAACAGGATTGAGAGTTTTGTTTCGAATTGACAAGCATGAGGGAGCCAGCACGTGTGTTTTCACACCTTTCATTGTAAAATTAACCCTCTTATCCAAGTTAATGCAGTTTAACATATTTCAGTTAAGTTCTAGGTTTCGAATGGAACATGTGCTTTCACCGGTGGCTCTGGTGGTTGTGGTTGTAAGCGGAAATCTTTAATAATATAAATCAGTCTACACACCATGGCAGACCCCGTCGTATGAAACAATGATTCAAAAAAATAAATCTACAGATTATGAATATTCAGATTTATGAAGCTCAATTTCTAAATTCAATAATTGGCTAACTTGTTTATTCCTTAGAACCCTGGCCTACATTTGTGTATTGCTTAAATTTTATTTTTTTCCACTTTCCTTTATCTCTAGGCCTTTTCAAGAACTTCCTAGGTTTCAACTATATTATACATTTGGTTGTTTTAATCAATAAAAACGTCCATCCATCCTCTACTGCTTTATACTTTTTCAGGGTCACGGGGAACCTGGAGTCTATCCCAGGCTTGTGCATGGGGTACACCCTAGATCCAGGGTGCCAGTCCATTCATACACTACTGACACGCCGATCGCCTACCGATCGCATGTCTTTGGACTGGGGGAAGGAAACCGGAGTACCCGGAGGAAACCCACGCAGCACGGGGAGAACATGCAAACTCCGCCCACACAGGGCCACGGTGGGAATCGAACCCCCGAGGTTCCCGCTGGAGGTGTGAGGCGAACGCGCTAACCGCTAAGCCACTAAGTTGTCGTCGTTTCCGTGGAGATATCGTTTGAGAAATAATAAGTGTACCGCTCTATGACTTTGGGAATGCATACATTAGTGGAGGGGTAATGTATGGATTCGTATGGAAATATTTTTTTTCCATTCCCTCACTTTAGTTTCACGCTGGTTTCGGTAAGTAATAAAATGTTCTGTTAGAAAATGATCAACATCCAGCTGGTCACTTGACACCACAGCATTATTAATAAATTTTCCTATAGCATCGTGCATTGAAGTGTTTTATTACTTGATTAATACAAGCTAAAGTGTGGACTAATGGTTCCTGTAACTATCCCTGAACCACTAACAGGAACAGTTGTTTAGTTCAGTTCTGTGACCTTTATTGGACGTGTGTACTTACAGTACTTTATAAAGTCTAAGACTGACACAAACCTTAACTTCTTTAAGATTTGATATTAGATTTAGGACTCGGATTCTCACCTTTAATTTCTGCCTTCTTGCTCACGTCCTCTTTAGGCTTTTCTTTTAGTTTGTCCTTCACCGGCTCTTCTTTCTTCTTCTCTCTTTCCTTATCCTTCTCGAGTTTCTTCTCTGCTTTTTCTGCAGCCTTTACAGCTCGCATTTCTGGAACGTTGCACAAGTCGCAATCGTCTTAAAAACGCAGAATCGTTGCAGTTGATAGTGAAAGTCGTCCCCCCCCCACACCGTATATATATATATATATATATATATATATATATATATACAACAACAGAGGTAAAGTAAATGAATCACCTTGAATGACTTTGTAGACTTCCTGCCGAGCTTTTTCCTCCTTAGCAATTCGTTCTTGCTCCAGAACTAAAATTCACACACGTAGGTTACATGAGAGAGACGTTTTGAAAGGATTGATATGAATCCAAAGAGACAAGTCACTTCGTAATCAGACATCAGAACCGATGTGAAGTCGGAAAATAAAATCGCTGAAAAATACGATGCAAGAGAATTCTATACATAGGTATAGGTATAGGTATTTATGCGCCTTATTGCGAAGAGCGACATTTTTCTAGTGACTCCAACAAAAAACAATTCGCATCAGTATTTAAAAAGTCAACCCATAGCACAGCATGCAGAAGTGTGATTTGATAAATGAATCACGTGAATATGAACCACATGAAAATGAATTACATGTGAATGAATCACATGGAAATGAATTACATGTGAATGAATCACATGGAAATGAATTACATGTGAATGAATCACATGGAAATGAATTACATGTGAATGAATCACATGCATGAATATGAATCACATGGAAATGAATCAAATGTAAATGAATCACATGGAAATGAATTACATGTGAATGAATCACATGGAAATGAATTACATGTGAATGAATCACATGCATGAATATGAATCACATGGAAATGAATCAAATGTAAATGAATCACATGAAAATGAATTACATGTGAATGAATCACATGCATGAATATGAATCACATGCAAATGAATCAAATGAAAATGAATAAATAAACAAAGGCAAAAAAAGAAGTGTGATTTGAATATTGCTATAGATCTTGCTTTCTCTTTGTACAAGAGAAACCAAGAAATGTGGATGAGGTCGAGCTACTATGTGAAAGTCATGCATCTCAGGGAGCTGGTGTAGATTTAAACACATGCCGAAGCTCGTAATTCATTTCTGATCGTAAAAAATAGCAACTGAGGACAAAAATGGGTCTTCTTATATTCTAAGAGGATTTATCTATCTGTCTCTCTGTCCAAATTCTTTGGATTACCCCAATGCTTCTATCGCACATTGGCCAATTCTGTGTTTGAACAATAACGACACCCACATCATTTAATCAAGGAATGGAGTCATTTCAGCACGTTCCGTAACGTTTCTGCGGCATTATTACGGTTGTTACTAATCAGTGTTACCGAACGACAGATTTATAAGCACGGTTATATTGAGCTCCACTATTCATAACTCCATACCGTTGCAGTGTATATTTATAGGTCTGCTAATGGTGCAAGAAAACATGAAAACTAATGAGCATTTTTTTTAAACAAACCAAAACACAAGGTTTTTTTGTTCCTATTTGACAGTATAGGGGTGTGTTTCCAGAAAAACAAACAAACAAACAAAAAAATGTTAGTGAGTGAACGAAACAATTTCATGGAGGACATTCTGAACCTTTTGGGAAACACCCCCCCGATTACTACATGTTAAAGACAAGGAAGGAACATTCATCTAAACATGGTACGCTTTGAGACTCATGACTTCTTGTTTCGTAACAATACATGAAAGTACCGATTCAAGATTTCATACGATGAAATAAACTTTCGATACCTTTTTCATTCTCTTCATGACGCTCATCTTCTCGCTGATCGGTTTCCTTGGACGTTGCTCCAGGCCTGACGTGATCTCTTTTGACTGGTTGTCTCTTTCTATCATTGTTGTTATTATTTTCATCGTCACTCTGAATGACGTCGTCTTCTATACGAAACGGAGCACGGACCGCGTGAGCCTTTGAGTCTAGATTTTCGGAATCTACGCCGTTATCTTTCTTCACTGCTTTCTCAACCTGGTCCTCCTTTACTTCCCGAATCGCTTCTTCCGTGACCTTTTCTTCCACTTTATCCTTGAGTTCATCGCGAGCATCGCGAGATGATTCAGTAGTTGATAACTCCTGAACGACAGTCTCAGTAGAAGCATCCATTTTGGTTTCTTCTTCGTCGGTATCTTTCGTTGGAAATTGTGTGGAGTTTATTGGTTTGTCTTCATGAACGATAAAAGAAACATCGAACGATTCCATTTTAAACGGGCTCTCGGTCGAAGTTACACTGGTCTCGGACTGGTCTTCATCAGCGTTCTTGCTCGCGATCGGTTTGAAGTCCTCAACATTTGTAAGAACAGATTCCTCCTGAACTGTTGCCTCAGAGAAAGTGTCACCAGTTTTAATCTCAGTTCGGTCTTCATCATTCTCGTTTGTCACAGTATCGGGTAATTTTACTGGTCCCTCACCAAAACGGCCACCAGACACAGTTTCAACTGGTTCTTTTTTCCGGGAAGGTTTGAATGTTCTCCCAGCATTTGAAACTGTGGGTTTGACGGATTCCTCATTAATTGTGGCGTCTGAAAAAGTTTGGTCTTCGTCAGTCTTCTTGATTGCACTTTTAGGTAATTTTACTGGTTCCTCTTCACCAATGAAGTCAGAAACATCAACATTTTCAACTGATTCCTCTTCACCAAGGGCCTCCGACCCAGCATCTACATTGACTTGGTCTTTGGGATCCACTATTGATATTGATTCCACTGGTTGCTCATCATCAACAACACGATCAATATTAACCTTCTCCTCAACTACGAGCTCTGATGAAGCGTCACCCGTTTGAGTCGGGTGATCATCCACCTGCTCATTTTCATCTTCTTCATCAATGAGAGAAGCACTGACCGTTTCAACGGGGTCCTCATCTGCCATCTCTAGAATCGACTCCATACCCACTTCACCAAGAGCATCAGAAGTATCCTCAATGTCTTTACCCAAGTCAACTTCATGCAAGTCAGTTCCCTGATGTATGACTTCTTCCTCTAGTCCAGATGTGTCCTGGTCATCCATGACATCAGCAACATGTTCCGTCGTTCCAGCTGGATCATCATCGCTCACTACATCCAGTGATTCCACCAAGCCGACATCACCACCATCCGCTTCAGATGCCTTCCTTTGGACCTTCACATCTGTAGTCTCGACGTCTTTCGTGTTCCATTTAGCAAAATCCGCCTTCAAAAGCTGGCGTTTCAGACTAAGATAGGCAGCGTCCTTTTTCCTGCCCAGAAGCTCTGCAACTGTGTCATGAAGCCGTTTTTGTGTGGTTACAAATGTATCATTTGATCAGGTAGAAATCTCCAACCCAGTCTCATGCAAAATTTGTCGGCTGTTCAACAGGCAAGGATAAAAATCGGTTGAATTGAATTTAGACCGATAACGTTACAATTAACTCCGCCCTTCACGTTAAGCGAGTAAACATCAGTGAACTGAAGGGCAATGTTTGAATCTCGGCGGTGTTAATATTTCGCATTTTCAACTTGAGCTAAAATGCTCTCGGTGGCATGAATAAATATAATGGAGAATATAACGCAAAAAACACACGTTCTACACGGTGAAATTAAATAAATGTAATAAATAGATTTGAACAATTTCAAATAAACAACATACACATTCTAGTTGTAACCGTCGGTGTAATGAATAAACAACTTAATTAAATGTAATTATACCACAGCACTTTGAATTCTCCGTCAGTACGTCGATTCTTGGGCCAATCGGATTATCGGTCAGTGTTGATTAGTGTTGATTAATTTTCCGGAACGTGTTCATATTAATGCACTCGTTCAAATGTGTTATCGTTTCTGATGTGACGAGAAGAAGAACAAAAACCATGCAGGTTGGTTCATACAGTGAGGCTTTCTATAAAGAGGTGTTTGGTTAAAAAGTTTATTGGAAGGAGTCTCCAGTGCCAGAGCTTTGCCACAGTCAGTCAGAGGTGATGCAGTAACGTCAGGTTTTCAGATACAGAAGCCTTCGCATTTTCTTGCTAACACAACAAGCTGTTGTGTTTATATTTTTAAATTTTATTTATTTAATTTGCCTTACGGGCATTCCAGAGGATTAAACCATAACGGGATAATAAAAAAAAAAAAAAACGTGCCGTTGTCGTTAGAATTGGCAAATTGCTGTGGTATAAGAGGAATAGAAGACTTTCGGAGTTGCTGTTTGCGGCAAATCGTTCCACCTCACCGTTGATTATTTTCCGGCACGCTGCTTTGAGTTTGAATTCCGTACTTGATTATATATAAGTGACGAGATGAGTGTTGTAAGAATGGACTTAAGAGGGTTAAAAACACTTCCAGTAACATACACTTCAACCCAATTCCAACTCAATCTCACGTACAGTTTATTCTATTGTATAGGAAGGTATTAAGAGACAATTTGGCCAAAACTTGTATTTACAGCATGCCTACATCGTCACGCACTCGTCCGGCTCAA